GGGACTTTGGTCCAATTTTTGAGCAACTTTAAAAATTCATAAAAAAATCCAAACTTGATCAGAATCAGCTCAAACTTGATATACAACATAAATGCATGTATATGCATCAGAAAAAATTATAAAAATAAAGAATTGTCTCCTAGCCATTTTTGATGAAATTTGGCCTATGACCCATGACCCTGTACTATAGTACAGGGACTTTGGTCCGATTCTGGAGCAACTTTAAAAATTCATAAAAAATCCAAACTTGATCGAAATCAGCTCAAACTTGATATACAACATAAATACATGTATATGCATCAGAAAAAATTATAAAAATAAAGATTTCTTTCCTAGCCATTTTTGATGAAATTTGGCCTACGACCCTGTACTATAGTACAGGGACTTTGGCCCAATTTTGGAGCAAAATTAAAAATTCATAATGAATTCAATTTTGATTGGAACTACCCCAAACTTAATATACAACATAAGTACATGTACATGTATCAGAAAATATTATTGAAATGTCAAATTTTTAAAGCCACGTTTTGACAAAATTTGGCCAATGACCCTGTACTATGTATAGTACAGAGACTTTGGCCCAAGTTTGGAGCAACTTTAAAAATTTATAAAAAAAATTCAAACTTGATCGGAATCGGCTCAAACTTGATATACAACATAAGAACATGTATATGCATCAGAAAAAATTATTAAAATGCCGAATTTTCTTCTAGCCATTTTTGACAAAACTTGGCCTATGACCCTGTACTATAGTACAGGGACTTTGGTCTGATTCTGGAGCAACTTTAAAAATTCATAAAAAAATTCAAACTTGATCGGAATCAGCTCAAACTTGATATACAACATAAGTACATGTATATGCATCAGAAAAAATTATAAAAATAAAGAATTCTCTTCTAGCCATTTTTGATGAAATTTGGCCTACGACCCTGTACTATATATAGTACAGGGACTTTGGCCCAATTTTGGAGCAACATTAAAAATTCATAATGAATTCAATTTTGATTGGAACTACCCCAAACTTGATATACAACATAAATACATGTATATGTATCAGAAAATATTATAAAAATGTGGAATTCTTTTTAAGCCATTTTTGACAAAATTCAGCCAATGACCCTGTACTATAATAGTACAGGGACTTTTGCCCAATTTTTTAGCAACTTAAAAAATTCGTAAAAAATCTAATTTTTATTGGAATCAGCTTAAACTTTCTACACAAAATAAATACATGTATATGTATCAGAAAATTATAAAAGCGAAGGTTTTTTGCAGCCACTTTAATGTACTATATACATGCATCAGGGTAGCATTTACTTCCCTGATTTGAGAAGTGATCTTTACTATTACTATGGTATAGGGGCATAAGACTTTATTATAGGGCCAGCATATACTACTGCAGTGGATATTAGAGCAACAATCAGAAATATAGAGAGTGGAGACTGCATCATCTTTATCCTGAAATGACAAAAGTATTAGTATTTCATCCTTTAAATACTGTCATCTGTACAGCTGTTAAAATATAACCACGGACATAATAACTGTCACTAACTAATATTTATTTAACAACTAATTTTTGGCCACTAACATCTAGTGCTATAACTTGTAGTTGTAGTATAGTTACATGTTTCATATAAGTGTTTTTTCAAGGGGATTATATTTCATGACATCAAAGAATTTAATGTTTTAAAAAAACCACTTTATGGTTGTACTCATGCATACCTCCAGTCCTGTACAAACTACTGAACCACCATTGGCATATTATAATAAATGTAATAATAGCACTCATTTTGAAGTTGGGAGCACCCTGAAAAATTGTCAAAAATGCTATTTAAAATTGACAAATTTTGTCAAGTCACGAAATTTTTTGTCCGGGGCAAAAAATTGTCCTAGCTCTATACTTCCACGTGCATTATAAATATAAACACTAAACCCCAACCCAACCCTAATCTAAACTGTACTGTGTGTGTATATAGTAGCCCAGACAATTTTTGCCAGGACAAATTATTCCATGACAGTCACTCATACCACACCTTCAATTCACACTTGGTCACACCTCCATGACTATGGCTGTTTTTCTGTTTGTTGTAATTGTGATCTTCCAAAATTACTTGTCTAGTATGCTTGATTGTACTTCAAAAATTATTCTATTTAAATTATTTTAGGTGCAAGTATCTTTACTATTGTACCAGTGACACAATATGTATATGTCAATGATACTGTGACATTTGAATGTGCTGCCAGCTATAATGGCCTTTACTTTAAAGCAGGAGGAGTTGTAGTTTCAGGTGTTATGATATCCAGTTTACCAAATGGTGGACAAATGATATCATTTAATCAAGTGGCAACTTATCAACTAAATGGGACTAATGTTACCTGCCATGCAACCAATGGAAATAAGACCAAGGCTGCCTACATTTATGTACAAGGTTTGAATCTTATTTAGTAGAAATAATTATTTTCACATATTCCCATGCAGGTCCACCTGATAGTGTCAGTAATTTAACAGGATATCAGTTAGATTCTTGTTGTATGTTTATCAGTGNGTATCCTCCATTCACACTACCAAGACTAACAGTACAGTATATAATCAGTGTAGGAACTGATCAACAGTACCTTAATGACTCTATCACTAACTACACTTACTGTCCAATGAACCCAACCAATAAACAATATCTGTTTAACATTACAACTACTAATAAAGCTGGGAATGGATCTACTAGTAACACAACTGTTGGATTTCAATCAAGTAAGAAACATAAATATAATTATTTAACTTTATGCATATTGATTTTTATAGGCTCAAATTTCCAGAGCATTTATCAAGAACATTTGACGTACCACTTAAACAATAGTTGGAGTTTACATTACCTTCTATCAGTTAGTTACTCCCACACACCCAAACACCTGTTTTTCATTTATTGTAGGCTCATCAGTTGTGTAGTAGAGTATCACTTGTTAACATAACAGTAACTGGTTGTACTGTTAGTAGTTCCAGTAGTACTTGTTATTCATTAACAAATGTATCCACTAGTAGTAGTTCTTATAATAACATTTCACTTGTTGCCATTATAAATCTTCCATCAAGAGAGATACTGACTACTAATGTTATTTTGTACTATCAAAATGGAGCTATATTTCAAAGCAACACTATTGAAATCAGTAAGTGACATATCATACTAATCTTTAGTGCTTCATTATTATTAAGGTACTCATAATCTTCAATACATAGCAGTGGTTAATATTACATTTAGCAAAGTTTGTCTTCAGTTTGAGTTTGTTAATGGGAGTACAACTGATATTATTTATATTCACATCACTAATTATGAAGAGCCAGTTCATCAACCAGTGTATTACAATATATCTCGTAATGATCAGTTGAACTTTACTCAGTGTATTACTAACATACCAGCTGGTGATAACTTAACACTGTATGCATGTGAATCAATGGAGGACTGTACTACTAATCCTGCTGCTGTATTAACTGGTATTGATATTCCTACTATAATCTCTAGCACTATGCTGACAAGCTACTTAAATTCACATGAAGACCTATTAGGATCTACTTCTAATCCCATCTGCTATAGTTCAGTATTGTTAATGTATACTTCAACAACTACAGTTTCATCTACAGTTAGATCTACCATGACGATAGAGGATTGTAATATAAGGGAAAGTCAAAGTGAAATACCTGTCTCTAGTGGTGAGCAATTAACATTAATAGTATTCTGTGTGATAACATTTACCATTCTTTCATTGATACAGCAGTATTGATTAGTGTATTGAGTGTATTCCTCGTACTATCACTAATGATTAATGTTATTACATTAACTGTGTGTTACTGCAAGAGGAAAGGGAAGAATAATCAAAGTATGTTGATTTTTAAATCTACTATAATAAATTGTATTACAGGTTCACAAGAGCAAGAACTATCATCAGTTAATCCACAGTATGAGAATGTACATCTACCAGTTCCACAATCAGAACTATCAATGAAAGAATGTGCTGCTTATGGTGTAGTGGAAGGTACTAGGTTTTAAGACTTCGTGATAATCAACTATTAAAGTTTTTGTAATTTGAAAGTAAATTTGAGCATTTAAAAATTTTTATGTTCAGTAATGTCATATATACCCTATTCCCAGCCCCCTAATACTATACCCTGTACCAAGAGTATATAGCCCATGGGCTTTTTTCCAAAAAAGGCTCCAAAATCACCCCAAATTTTTTTACATTTTGCGATGCATATTGACGTCCTTATGCTATGTAGAAATTTTGAGCTAATTCCGATTAAAAATTTTGGCCATTTTAAAAAATTAGCCAATTTGCCTCTTGTACCACATAAATTTTTAAGCAACTTGCAAATTCAAAAAAATTGCACTCTTCAAGAAAGCACTTATATGGCATTATAGTAGTTACAATTGTGCACATACCTTACATATGTACACTGGTCCAGTACAAACTATAAGCATGCCACTACTACTAGACTGCCAAAGTAACAATGGTGGGAGAGCATGCATATATATGGCAAATGAAATTAGGAGCACTAGCTGAAAATTGTCAAAAAAATACTATAGTCTGTGGTAATTTATAAAGTTGCATTATACCACACCTTCAATTCACACAGGGTCACACCTCCATGATCATGGCTCCTTTTCTGTTTGTTGCTGTAATTATGGTCTCCCAAATTTACATGTCTTGTAAGTTTTATTGTGATATCATCAAATATTATAATTATTATCAATTTTAGATGCAAGTATCTTCACTATTGTACCAGTGACACAATATGTATATGTCAATGATACTGTGACATTTGAATGTGCTACTAATGTAACTCAACTTGGTATCTTTTTTGTGATTTATCCATCAGTTATGGGTTCAGTATCAAATTCTGCTGGAATGGCATCACTTAATCTAACAGCAACAAGTGAAGTAAATGGTACAAGTGTTACCTGCCATGTAAGCAATGGAACTGCCACTGAACCAGCATATTTGTATGTACAAGGTCAGTATCTTACCTGCATAATTGGGCAATAATGATTCTCAATGTACTATTTTCATTGACAGGTCCACCTGATAGTGTCAGTGATTTAACAGGATATCAGTTAGATTCTTGTTGTATGTTTATCAGTTGGTATCCTCCACTCACACTACCAGGACTAACAGTACAGTATATAATCAGTGTAGGAACTGATCAACAGTACCTTAATGACTCTATCACTAACTACATTTACTGTCCAATGAACCCAACCAATAAACAATATCTGTTTAACATTACAACTAGTAATAAAGCTGGGAGTGGATCTACTAGTAACATAACTGTTGGATTTCAATCAAGTATGAAACATAAATTTTACAATTGATTTATTGATTTTTGATAGATTCAAATTTCGAGAGCATTTATCAAGAACATTTGACATACCACATAAACAATAGTTGGAGTTTACATTACCTTCTATCAGTTAGTTACCCCCACACACACACAAACACCTGTTTTCATTTACTGTAGGCTCATCAGTTGTGTACTGGAGTGTCACTTGTTAATATTACAGTAACTGGTTGTACTCTTAGTAGTTGCAGTAGTACTTGTTATTCATCAACAAATGTATCCACTAGTGGTAGTTTCTATAATAACATTTCTATTGTTGTTATCATAAATCTTCCGTCAAGAGAGATACTAGACACTATTATTATTTTATGCTATCAAAATGGAGCAGTGTTTCAAAGCAACACTGTAACAATCAGTAAGTGACATAATTACTGCTTGTTATTTGTTATTATAAAGGTACTCATGATCTTCAGCACATATCATTGGCTAATACTACGATTAATAAAGTTTGTCTTCAGTTTCAGTTTGTCAATAGTACCACAACTAATAATTTTTATATTCACATCACTAATTATGAAGAGCCAGTTCATCAATTAGTGTACTACAATATATCTCGTAATGATCAGTTGAACTTTACTCATTGTATTACTAACATACCAGCTGGTAATAACTTAACACTGTATGCATGTGAATCAATGGAGGATTGTACTACTAATCCTGCTGCTGTAATAACTGGTATTGTTATTCCTGCTATAGTCTCTAGTACTATGCTGATAAGCTACATAAGTTCTTATGAAGACCCATTAGGATCTACTTCTGATCCCATCTGCTATAGTTCACTAGTGATGCATACTTCAACAACTACAGTTTCATCTACAGTTAGATCTACCATGATGATAGAGGATTGTAATATAACGGAAACTCAAAATGAAGTACCTGTCACTAGTGGTAAGCAATAGGGATATTTGAATTATTTTTACTGTTTCTTCATTAATACAGCAGTATTGATTAGTGTATCAGGTGTATTCCTCATACTATCACTAATGATTAATGTTATTACATTAATTGTGTGTTACTGCAAGAGGAAAGGAAAGGATGATCAAAGTAATGTTAATTTATATAATTTTAATCATACAATAAATTGTATTATAGATTCACAAGAGCAAGAACTATCATCAGTTAATCCACAGTATGAAAATGTAACAGCTATACAGTTGGAACTATCAATGGAAGAGTGTGCTGCTTATGGTGTAGTAGAGGGTAGTAGGTTTTAAGACTTTTTTGTGTGGTAATAAACTGTTATATAAATTTTTAAGGTAAATTTTTGTACTGAACATTTTAAAGTTGCATATAATTTTACACTGACACTGGCAGTCAAAAATAACAATGCAGGTGGACTATGAATGAAGTAGGCATGCCACATGGCCTTATGCAGTATCCTAGTCTCTCGTAGCCAGACCTATCCCCCTTTTTGACATACCAAAAAGGAAGATGGGTCTGTCTACGCGAGACTAATAGCATCAAGAGTACTCTTGGTAGTATTCTATGTGCCCTAGCCTCTCACCCAGACAATTTAAAAACTGTAACATTGTAAGCTAGCTATAATTTTTAGATGTTTTAGAATTTAGTTATTTATACTGTATAGGGCATAATGTTCGCGGGAGGCAAATTTCGCGAAATCTACTAAAATTCCAATTCGTGGATTTTAATTTGAATTCTACTATGTGTGCCATGCGGATACTGTATTAAATTGATATTCGCGGATGTTATTTTCGCAAATTTTCTTTATCCACGAAATCAGCGAAATTTGCGTCCCGCGAACATTATGCCCTATACGGTAGGTAACTGAATTTCTACCCTTTAGCTAGATTTATAATGTTAATGTTTATGTTATAGCTTAAAATTTGGGTGTACTAACATTTCAGCAATATTGAAATAATTGGCCTCGCCCAGCTTTGCGTAGGCGAGGACTAGGTACTCGGTTTGTCTGTCTGTGTTTCATTACCCGAGCCCACGCGTAGGCGTGGAAGCGAGGGTAAAGCAGTCGTCCTGTCTGTGTGTTCGCTTTGACCTCCACTTTTGAGCTGACACTGCTTTCTTGTCTAGTCGTCTAGAGTCTTATAATCGAAACTGGCTCTAGAAAAAGTTATTCTCTGTCTTGGGAATGCTATATTTTTCTTTTCTGTGGATGAAGAAGCTGGCAAAGTCGCCAAACGTAGTCGGCTCTCCTGCAGCTCTTTCATAGTTAGAGCAAGAGAGCAAGAGGGGAAATAAAACAATAAAGCAAAGCCTAATCTTTCATTAATATGAGACGATTTGCTCCAATCATCTTCCTTTTTAAGATATGATAGCCCAAACTTTCATACCTTGTGAGTTTAGACGAGGCTCTCTTCTCCCGAAGTAGCGGCCAGAGTCTTTAAACACCAGGGACTAGATAGCAGTTTGTATGCAACAAATAGAGCCTAACAAATGTATGCTAAACTTTTTAAAAAGTCGAGAAAAACTAAAGCTTTCTTCACCACTTAGGGCCATGTGCCACCATTACTGTGTGTGCGGGTGGAGCA